AATGAATGGGAAAGCATTCCTTTCTTTTATTTCATGGAACAGAGTGCGTAGAGTTGGGGTTGTTTCTACTCTAAGAGTTTGATAGGATTTACTATTTTTATTAAAAGAGGAGTTCTGTAAGTTTCAGGCCCTACCAAACCTGGACTCACCCCTATTTGAGGTTTTGGGTGTGGGTTGTTCTCCACAGCAGAGATTTCAACATGCTGTTTATGAAAATATCATAAGAAGCAGCTGGGGAATGTAGGTCTAGACAGGCAAACCTGTTCAGCCTCCTGCCTTTTGCAGAAATCACTTATTTTCTACCCCAGCCAGTCTTGGACAGAGCCACAGTGAACTCCCAGCAAGGCAGCAGAGTTTGGGCTGAACCACAGCTGCCTGTGTGGCTTTGGGAAAGTCACTTAACCTCTCTGAACCTCAGATGAGCTAACAGGAAAAAGATGACTTTTTTTCTGTGTCTCCCTCAAAATGCTCATATAAAAATGGAAATATTCCCAGAGGACTAGACACGACTCCTGGAGGCAGGGACATAGAGCTCCATGGCTTACAAAGTAAGGGGAAGAGACAGAAGGGAGGACTTCAGCAGGGTGGGCTGAAGGTGACACAGAAGGACAGGGGGACAGGGAGCAGTGACAGCTGCCATCTGTGCAGGGACTTGTTGCCCCCTGCTTGTCCTCACAGACATTATCTCACTTGAGCCCTCTGTGACCCTCTGTGGAAGCACAGATGCATTCCTCCATCCAGTGTGTCCTGGGCCCTGCTCTGGACTCGGCATTTTACTAAGGCCTGGAGAGGTTAGAGCATGTAACACAGCCATGGGCAGAGCTGGAAGGAAGCCCAGGTATTTGGGGCAGACTGTGCTTTTCCACTGCTGTGCAAGTTGCACTAAGTTCAGAGGTAGGGGGACAAACCGTGAGTGGGCAGGAGGGCTTTGGTCCTGATGCCAGGCCACTGGGTTCCTTATGTAGCTGGGGCAAGTGAGGGACAGGCCTCCCCTGGGTCCCTCTGTTTGCCGTCTGTGAAGTGAGGCTGATCGTGCACCTGCTTGTAGGTTTGCGGGAGGATTAAATGAGTTAATATGTGCGGAATGCCCAGAGCAGGGCCTGACACACGCGAGTGCCACACAGACATGGGCGTTATTATTCATGACAGCGCCAGGCCCTCCTTTGTGCTCTGTGAAACCACTTATTTAAAGAAGGATGAAATTATAAGATGTTGGTGTCCTGCCCACCTCCCCCACCCCCGGACGTGTGAATAGCGAGGACCCAGCCTTGGGAGGTGCTTGCCAAGGCCATGCAGTCAGGCAGGCCACGGACCCAGCCCAGCTTTCTTGAGTCCCTGCCCCGTGAGAACACGTGGCCTTGTGCATTTTGTGATTCTGTGCTCCCGAGGAAGAGCGGGCTCCACAGGCGGTGACACACGCTGTGGAAGCAAACCCCGAAGAGAGGCTTAGGTGTCTCCTCTCCTGAGCCACCTTCCTGGGGGCAGTGAGCTTTTGGGAACTCGCCAGGGTGGGGAGAAGGTGGGGCTTTGGAGGAATGGCAGCCAGTGGCAACATCCTGTGTGCCCATCCTGTGTGCCCTCCCTTTCCCTCGGAACTAGGCACCTCTAGGCGCACCTCGCACTGTCGCACGGGAGGGCACAGGCCTGCGGGGAAGATCACAGCGCGAGCAGCCTCCGGCGACGCTTAGGGTCTGGCGCCACCGTGTGGCCACGGCCAGAGGCTGTCTTTACAGAGGGGCTGGAGGCCCAGCAGCAAGGGGCAGCTGGCAGGGTGCCCTCAAAGTCACCAGGAGTTTAGAGCATAGGTGCTGCTTGTTCCCTAGCAGCTCCCAAGGGGAGATGCCAAGGGGAGCCGAGAGGAGGAAAGAGGAAGCCCGGATCCTGAGGACTGCAGCATCAGTGTGTTGGCCAGAGCTGCCCGATCCGCCCACGTGGATTTAGTGCATTTAGGGCAGGGTTTAGTGCAGGAAGTAGGCAATGAACAAGGTCAGGTCGCAGGCCCCAGTCCTAGCGCCAGCTCTATCCCACAGTTACTTGGTGGCCGAAGCAGGGGTCAGCTCATGCTCTAACATTGAGGTCCTCACCTGTAGAGTTGGGGTAGGACTGGGTCAGCATCCAGATCTGACTATATTCCAAACCAGTACCTCTCAGTTGTCAGCTGGGGACCCAAGGACTTGAGGATCGAAGGGGAAGTTGCAGGAGGCAGAAGTAGGTAGGAAAGGTGTGTTTGCTTTGAGGCCTGGAGATCAGGAGCCCTGAACTGGACCCTGACGTGGCACCTGCCCGGTGAAGACACTGTGTGCACTGGTGACCCAAAGACGTGCTATCCAGACTTGGTTCTGATGCAACCTTGATGCACTCCAGGCCCCAGTGGCTGTTTGCTAATCAGCTCTAGAATGAGAGGCTCTGGCTTTGCCCACTTCCACCTGGGCTTTTCCCACACCTGGGACATGTTGGCTTCCTCTGTGTTCTGGGCTCGCTGTCTTGATTTGCCCTGGCTGGTCTTGGCGGGCAGAGGAGCTTGTGGCTTGGGGAAAATGGAGGGCAGAGGGGTAGAACCCGTGCTCCCTCCACCCTGCTAGGGCAGACCTAGATAAACCTAAGTGCTGGCATTACCAACCTAAGACCCAGACGGATAGGCTTAGCTCTGCCCATACAATCATTCCTCTAGCAGCTGGAGGCTAGAAGAGGCAGAGTTTGTGGTCTGAGTGTACCCCTGAGAGTATAGATTTGTGGTCTGGTCCCTGTGGTATTGTGTGCTGCAGGTGCTGTGTGTGGGGAGCACTGAGTTTGGGAACACAGGCACTACCTCTAATCCACCGGGCGCACAGCTCTTCTGTGCCAGCACACCCTTGTCCCCTGATGCTCGGCCTTCCCCAGCTGCTGTCACATCCTATCACTTGGGCCCTTCTATCCGCCCTTCATTCTGGGTCTGAGCACCACCCAGCCTCGCTCAAACCACTGATGACAATGTCTGCTCACAGGGCCCCTCACCCAGGGTCACTGTTGCTGTCACCTCTTCTTCCCAGAGGTCCTTCCCTTCAGGCCCCAATTTTGATACTGCTTCTCTCACCTTCCTCTCTTTCTCCTGCAGTCCCTCCCACTCCTCTCTCTGTCTCTATCTCTCTGTCCTCTGTGCGTGTCTTTCTGTCTCTTTTGTCTTCCTCCCTGCCTCTTCCTCCTTTTCTCTCTCCTCCTCCTCTTTCTCCCTCTCTTTTTCCTCTTTCCTCTCTCTCCTTCTCTCTCTCTTCCTCCCCCTTTCTTTCTCTCCCTCTTCTCTCTCTCCCTCTCTCCTTGCCTTGCTTCCCTGTCCCTCTTCCCTCTCTCTCCCCTCTTTCATCTCGCCCCACTTTCTCCTCTCTCTCTCTCCTCTCTCACCCTTCCTCTCTTTCTTTCCTCCCCCTCTCTCCTCACTCTGTCTCTCCCTCTCCTCACTCTGTCTCTCCCTCTCCTCACTCTGTCTCTCCCTCTCCTCACTCTGTCTCTCCCTCTTCTCTCTCTCTCTCCCTCTCTGTCCCCTCTCTTTCCTCCACCCTCTTTTTTTCTTTTTTTGAGACAGAATCTCACTATGCCACCCTGGTAGAGTACTGTGGCATCACAGCTCACAGCAACCTCAAACTCTTGGGCTTAAGTGATTCTCTTGCCTCAGTCCCAAGTAGCTGGGACTATGGTGCCTGCCACAACGCCCAGCTATTTTTTGGTCGCAGTTGTCATAATTGTTCAGCTGGCCCCGGGCTGGGCTCGAACCTGCCAGCTTCGGTGTAAGTGGCTGGTGCTGGTGCCCTACTCACTGACCTACGGGTGGTGAGCCACACTCTCCCCTTCCTTATCTCCCCCTCTCTGTTTCTCCCTCTCTCTCTTCCCACTCTCATCTTTACTGCTCAGCTGTGGTGTTTTAGAAGGAACAGTGATATGTCCTAAAACATTCATCCCCCAGGACAGCTGAGGACACACATGTGGCTCTTTCCTGCTGGCTGTGGCATCTGGTTGGTGGTTCCTGTTCTTGAACCCGACAAACCCACAAAGTCACCCTTTCTGACTCTCTTCTGGCTGGGCCATGCCTCAGAGCCCCCAGCTGAGTTTAGGTATCTTAACTCCTCTTGCTTGTGGCTTGGAGATCAATAGCTCCAGAAAGTTCTGGTAAAAATGAGGCTGGGAATATTATATGGACACAGGGTGAGTGCCCACCCTGTGGGCATGTATCATCTCAGGAATCTCCCCACCCAGGCAGGGAAGCAAGTATTCTTTCCACACACAAAGGAGAGCACAGGACACTGGGCTACAGTAAGGCATCAAGGTCCCACACTTGGCAAGGGGTGAGTCCAGGCCTGTTCGGCTCAGAGCTTGGGCTGTCCACCTGGATCCCTGCCTCTGCCTTGCTGCTCCCTGACAGGTCCTGGGCATGATCCACAGGCAAGTGAGGAGATTCGTACCTGTGTCCTGTGCCTTGCCCGGGCAGAGACTCTACTGCAGGCCCTGGGCCCCTTGCCCCACCTCCCACCATTGAGCCTCTGCCAAGCCCCCACTGTTCCCCACATGTCACAGGTGAAGGTCATACCTATCTACTCATCACCTACATGGCCAGACAGTGAGTGGCTCTTAGAAGGAGCTTCACAAAGGTCAATTCCCTTACCTTCCTTTTCTGGAGCAGGAGAGGTGACAGCACCCCTGGGACCCGAGAGAGCCCACTTGCCCTCTGGGCTCCCTCAAATGCTCACCTGGCTTGCCCTGGAACATGATCCAGTCTTTCTTGTGTTACAGATAAACAGAGGCCAGAAGGCGAGGACTCGGGGACTTGGCTTAGGGAGGTGGAGTGTCAGATCCCCACGCCTAGGCCTTGGCACCGTGGCCTGGGGAAGTATCAGAGCTTCCCCCCGTCCTGTGGGAACTTATGCAGGTGGTGGCTGCCGGCCACGCAGCTCTTGGTTTTAGGGGGACAGCTGGGGTCTCCTGCAGCCCTGCCCCGGCGCTGGCTGAGCTCTGTGCGTCTCTCTCGGCAGGTATATCCGCACCATGTACCTGGGGATTCAGAGCCAGCGGCAGAAGGAACACCAGCGGCGCTTCTACTGGGCCATGATGTACGAATACGCAGACGTCAACATGCTGCGCCTCCTGGAGACCTTCCTGGAGAGCGCGCCCCAACTGGTGCTACAGCTCTGCATAATGATCCAGAGGAACAGCGCCGAGACGCTGCCCTGTGAGTGCCCCGCCCCGCCCCCGTGGGCACCGCCGGCCGTGGGCGTCGCTGCCCTGACCTTGAGCGCTCGGGATGCCCAGCCCCCACGGCGCCCGCGGCCCACACCACACGCGAGAGCGGCACAGACGGTTCCCGAAACCCGTGCGCGACCTGCTCGGCCTCCCCGAGACCGCTTTGTTCATGTGAGCAGAGCAGAGCGAGGGCCCCGGGTCCCCCAGGCAGGCACTGCCGCGGCCTGAGCCTGGGGGTGCACGTGTGTGGGATGGGGGACCACGGTCTAGAGAGAGGTGCGAGGACAAGACAGAGTCGCATGGCAGCCGCAGGAGTTCAGGCATTTGAAGCTGTGGCACTCTGGCTTCACACCACCCTCATGCTGGAGCTCAGGCAGAGAGCCCCGTCTGTAAAATAGGCTGGCTGTGCTGAGGCCCTAGCCAGGGAGGACCAGGGAGAGGAGGGCAGGGCTGGACGCAGCGTCGTGGGGAGACATACAGAGGGATGACTTGCCACAGAGGGGAGGGAGCCGCAGGGAGAGGTTGTCCATTCAACAGGTGAGAAATATTTCACAGAGCTACAGACTACTACCTGGGAAGGTAGTGAGTTTCTCACTACTAGGGACATTCAAGTAGAGAAGCTATTTAAGGGCTCAGCCCAAAGGTCCCTGACTGTCGAGGGCTTGGTAACCATGTGCAGCTTGGGTAGCAGGGCAGTGGGGCTGGGGGCTGCCATCTGTGCCCCCATCTTCCTGGCTATGGAGCCTCCTGGTCTCCTGGGGGGTCTTTTGGGCCCTCTCCATGCCCCAGTAGCCGTCAGTGCCACTGTGCTTGTGAGCACCCACATGCGTTCTCCTGGGGGTCCCCTGGTCGTTGTGGTCCAGCAAGGGCAGCTGAGCTCTGGCCTTTCACTGGGTGATGTGATCTCCTTACTGTTTCCAAGCCAGCTGGCTCTCTATAACTGCCCTCCCCTGGGGCTTAGGCAAAAAGGGAGTTTAATCTTCGAAAGCTACTCACAGAGTTGCTTAGGCCGTCAAGCTCCACGGTGGTGTCCAGAGCTGTGGTACAGGCAGGCTCACCTGTCCTGTGGGATCAGCTGTCAGGCGAGGGCCGCCCTCACTGGAAGCACCCAGCAGGAAAGGGGACCAGTCACAGGAGTGAGGAGAGGGGCAATGGGGCCCTTGAACTAAAACAGGGGAAGATGGGCCTGTGCCCTGCTCTGTGCAGAGGTCTGGAGCCTCAGTTCCACCACTCGACAGGCCTTTGGGAAGCACGAGCTGCCCTGGGAAGCAGCCTCAGCCTCTATGCTGTCACGGAAGCAGGAGAGATGTGGGGACCTTCAGCAGTTGGGTGAGATGCACTCTTGGGTATCCGCAGTCATCACTGCTAAGAAGTTGTGTTGGCAGTTGGGTGAGATCCACTTTTGGGTATCTGCAGTCCTCACTGCTAAGAAGAGGCCCCAGGCAGCCCAAGAAGGATCCAGCCGCTTGGAGCCACAGTCCAACCAGGGCTTGAGAAAGAGCTGGAAGGAGCCAGCTCCGTGTCTCACTCCAGCTGGAGCATCCGGAAGCCAAGCAGGAAACCGCCGAGAAGGGCAGGCCTGGCAGCCCATCTGTCCCTTCCTTCTTTCTCGGGCATGTGCACGTGCACACACACACGTGCTCTGTCATTGGCAGTGGGAAGGACTTGGGAACATGAAGAGCCCTGTGTACATCCTATCTTCAGGCACCCTGGAACCAGGGCATCTGCGTGGGCAGTGAAGCCACGGGAGCCCCTGCCTCACAGGACCTGGGAGGAAAGACCTGGCATGAGCCATCCATGGACAGCGTGTGGCAGTTCAGACAGCATCTCTTGTTCTTAGCACTGCGAGACTCCCTCCTTGATTGATTCAGGAGCAAGACCAGTGTCATGTGGGTGTCTATGGAATGTGCCTCTACAATCCAATCTTGAAGGAGCCCTCACAGAATTGAGAACCCCCCTGGGCAATGGCCCCTGCTGCCAGGAGGAGATGCCACAAGCTCCCTGCTGCCCAGTGAATACTTCGCACCCAAGATGCCCATGGATACCTAGGCCTGCCATTCCCCAGCCCAAGGCAATGATTCTCTTATGGGTAGATTTGCTGGCTCTGCAGAGGGGCACTTTTCTCCCCCTTCAGAGGCCTTATCTCAAAACTAACCCTACTGTTGTGTGAGATGCTGTCTCAGTCTGTTTGTGCTGCTATAATAAAATGCCTGAGACTGGAGGCAGGGAAGTTCAAGATCAAGGCACAAGCAGGTTCAGCTGCCTGGTGAGGGCTACATCCTCTGAAGGGGGAGAAAGCTTTGTCTTCACACGTTGGCAGGCAGAAAGGCAAGCTAGCTGCATGCTCTGCAAAGTCTCTTTGATAAGGGCCTTAATCCCATCCATGAGAGCCCTTATGGCCGGGTCACCTCCTAAGGGCCCACCCCTAATGCCGTCACACCTGATGCTATCACACCTGAGTTCAGACTCTTCTTATCTAAACTGCCTTTTGCTGTTTCAGTTTCAAATCTTCCCGCCTCTGTACCACCAAGACTGTCAAATGATGCCTCCTTCTATCTTCTTCCAATCCTTGGCCGGATTCCAAAACCCCAAACAGACGAGGCAGGTGGCAAAGTGACATACAGGTGACATACAGGTTGTGAGTCCCTGGTCACCACTTATACCCTGCTGTGATTTTGGACCTTCATCTTTTCATGCCCCCTTTCCTCCTTGGTGTACTGGGAGAGAGAATAACAATACCTCACTTCCAGGGGAAGCAATGATGTAATGTACCGGTCAAGCCCCACAAGTCTCTAGGGGGTTGTGGTCATCATTTCCAGGGCCCCATGGGGTGACTTGCATGGGCTGGGCCCTAGGGAGATTTTTCTCCCTTTTTGACCTTCTGGGTCATCCCTATCCCAGCCCCCTTGATGAGCCCATACTCCACATAATAGTCTCTCGGGTTGTAAACATAAAGGTCTGGGTGTGAACCCCCAAAGTCAGTGGGTGTCCCCAAGTGGCAGTGGATGGGTGTTGCTTCCTAAATGTTCTTGCATCTGGGGGCCTACTGAGGCCATGGTCTGTGAGGGCTCTTGGAGAAGGAGCTGGTGCTGACAAGGGGCCATGAAGCCCTGGGAAGCTCCTCCTGACTTTTGTTCCCCATGTGTCCAAATTTGGGGCCAAATGCTCAAGGCTCAGGTGGGCATTTCCCCTGTTTGTTATACATTTGGGAAGCGCTGTGCTACACAGAGGTCAGTGATGATCATTGTTGCTGGGTTGTGAGTCCCTAAGCCTAGGACAAGATCTGCAGTGCTGGGGTTTACGAGAATAAGGGGTGCTGGTGGTCGCTGAGCACAGGCTGCCTCTGCAGAGCCTGGTGACTTCATCTCTCACAACTTCTAGGAGTGCCTTCTGGTCTCCAGAACAGTTTGTTATGTTCATAGATGCCTTCACCTTCTTTCCCCATGAAAAGCTATAGGAGATGTATAAGCTTTAAGAAAATCAGCTTATAAGGGCGGCACCTGTGGCTCAAAAGGGTAGGGCGCTGGCCCCATATGCCGGAGGTGGTGGGTTCAAACTCAGCCCTGGCCAAAAAAAAAAAAAAATAATAATAATAATAGAATAGAATAGAAAATCAGCTTATGTATCAGAACTTGGAAGGGGAGAAAAAATCTGCATACTTGGGGACCTGTTGGTAGCGTGGCCTCTCCTGGCCGAGTGTGTGCAAGGAGGGCAGAGGTGTTCACCCTGCTACTCAACAGTTGTCTGACCTTTAGCAAGTCCCTGAGCCTTTGTTTCTCACTTTTCTCATTTCTGAAATGGGCCTGATATTAGTGGCTTACCATAGAAGGTTGGAAGAGCATTAAACAACATGGCAAATGTCGTGTGGCTCATTCCGTGTCTGCCTGTTGTGGTCGTGGTACATTTCTTGTAAATGCATTTTCTGATTTGAACTCCCAGCTTCACTAGTGAGATCATGGCCAGCTGGCCTTGCATTAGAGGCTTCGTGACCCCTGTCCACATTTGGTTGGTCATAAAGATCACTAATGCTATCGCTGTCCTTTTGATGGGATTTGCTAATGCCGTCCCTCTCCCCTCTATTACTCACCAATCGCTGGGTTAACAGGGTAATAATTCAGCTTGCAAGATGGACTCGTACCCAGCTCCCCCATAAATACAGACTTAAGCAAAATAATAATAATATGCCATGCGGGTACTATGGCAGAGGTGTTTGGACATTTTGACAGGGTCTCTCTTATACTTGATGTCTTGAAAGTTTAAATGAAGATTTAAAAAAGATATAAAGAGAGTATATAATTCTGACATGTCACATTTACCTTCAAATGTGTAATTCTGTGGCTTGGCTAGAACTGTGAGTTGCGACAGGGTTTAAAAAGTCACCTGATATGGCAGGAGGGGTTAGACAGAGCTGTGTGCAGACTCTGGTTCCACCATGCATCATGGATGGACTTTATGACCCAGGGAAAGTTAATTTCCTACCTGGGTCTTCTTACCTGTAAAGTGGGCATAGTATAACTGTTTGGGCTGTCATGAAGGGCCAGGGAGCTACTCACCTACTCAGCTACCTGTAGCCTCAGACATCAGAACCAAATATGCATCTGAACAAGCACCTTCGTGAAGGCAGGGAAGCCCGAGAAAACAGTAAACCCCACGTTTAAACATTGGTTTTACTTTAAACAAACATTGAGCTCTGGGATACAATTGGGGATCTCTCTTTCTGTCTCTTTGGTGCCGACCTCCCCCCTAGCTTTCTTCTTTTGCAGCTTCTCTTCCTGGCTCTTTTACATTCAAAGCCCTTCCGGGGACTTGCACTTGAGCTTCACGTTTGCCGCTTTTTCTCGCAAGAGCTCTCAGGGCGTCCGGGTGTTCGTTTGCTTTTCTCTGCTCCCATAAGCTGAAACGTCTGTGCCTCTCTCTCCAGCTCCAACCCCGCGAGCGCTTTACGGAGAGCCGTGGCGGCACCACCGGCCCCCACATTCGAGTTCCCGG